CCTGCGTATTTTATGTTTCGGTTAAAATGACCTGTGACAGGTTAGAATTAGAAAGATCAGAATTAAAGCAGCAGCCCGAGAGGTCCCGACGACACAGCGTTCACAGAAAATCTGAAATTTATAACTTCGTATAATAAGTCAGCTGCCTCGGGATATCAGAAAATTAGCTGTGACATTTACTTCACAACTAAGTCAGTTACATTTAGTTTCGGGTTGTTTTCCACTCGGTGTAAACCGACAAATATTACACTCAACACTTTTTCAATCATTTAATTTTATCTTTATTTAATTCCTGTGCTATCATAACCATCACCCCACTGGTGGCATCATGATAAACGTGTGATGCGAGTTCTTCCTTGTGTAGCCCGTTTGCTCAGTAGGATTAGAAATGCTCCGTAGTAACAGTGAAAGGCCTTGGTTTGAAGTGGATCCCTTGTGTTCTTATTGTACTGTCACAAAAGAAAACATGAAACAATTCTCAAACACAGATTTGCTCAATGAGAGCATCCAGTAAGTGCTCATGAAATATGTCCAGCCGTCAGCAACAGCCGAGTTATTCAGTGTTGAAGTATTTGCTGGGTTATGCCTGTAGTTACAGCTGTGGCAAGCGGAGCAACTACTAACAGGCAAAGCAGTGAGTGAAACAGTGACAGCTGTCTTTATGTTCTCAGGTCTGTGACTTTTGAAGTGTGGTAAACATGGCAGATGGCCCCGCCCCTCCCTGAGCCTGGTTCTGTCGGAGGTTTCTTCCTGTTAAAAGGGAGTTTTTCCTTCCCACTGTCGCCAAAGTGCTGCTCATAGGGGGTCATATGATTGTTGGGTTTTTCTCCGTATGTGTTATTGTAGGGTCGACCTTACAATATAAAAGACCTTGAGGCGACTTTCGTTATGATTTGGCGCTGTATGAATAACACTGAATTGAACTGAAAAGAGAGAGACTGTTACACTATTAATCGAACTGTGCTTACTTTACAAATCTTGATTGGACATCATGCTGTCACTAACTTGGTGTTCAGTGGTTCACACACGTTTCCTGCTTCAGCTGGGAGTGCTCTTCATGTTTCATTCAGTTCACAGGCCGGCTCAGATCTTCAGAGACCAACCAAAGTTGAAAAGGGTTTCTCAGCGTGCAGTGACCTGTGGGCACGTTTACTCTTCAGTGTGACTTGTTAGTTGAGCAATGAGTTGTGAGAAAAATCACAGCAGTCTGTTGTAAAGACACATAATCATGTAAGGGAAAAACTGCCTCCGGAGCTGTTACGCTGATAAAAGACGCGCGACTGTGAATGGAAAAGACGTAAGCTTAACGTCTGCTGACCTCTGAAAATGCAAATGAAATCATCCATCCAAATTTCACACTTCCTTTCACAGCTCATCAGCCTGCTTAAGAACTCTGAGATGATGCAGCACACAGGAAGCTAATGCTACACGTAAGCTGTCCCGTTTAGCTTTAAACCAAAACTCCAGAGAAGAGATGATGAAGCTCCTGAGATCTAACGCTGGATGAATCACTCACTGCTGTTTTGGAAACGGATTGAGTGCGATTGACTTCCCTTTGGGGGGGAAGGATTTGGCTGCAGCTCAGAGCGGAGCTGCGTTTGAACTAACAGAGCAAAAGTCTCCTGGGCACGACATTTTCTCTTGTTATCATTTTCTTAGAAAGGAAACTCGCCTTGTGTATCTTAATGGAAGAACATACGTTTTTCAGATGTGTAGTGTTTTGATGTCACTGTTGTCTTTAAGAATTTGTTCCAGTGTAGCTGTGAAAATAATTATCTGTGATTTTTTTGCTTTCATGGTCCGTAGTAGATGAATGAGTTTCTTGGCCTTTCATAAAGCCAGAATTAATTTGACATTTATCTAATGGAGTATGGCACCATCTACATCATGTTGCTGATGTTCCCGATCTCCAAATAGAAACCTGCTTTTCATTTGTTGTCACTGTGACCTTGGATGTTACTGTATTTATGCCCCAGACTTGGCAATTATTAACTGGGGGATAAAAGTGGAGGAGACAGAAATGGCCTTGGGTGGAGATCCAGGCCGCTGTAGTGAACCTCACGGCATCGATCGCCTGCGCAACCCGTGAGTTAAACCGGTGCCCTGAGATAATGGCTGTCCTTCATGGAGTGATAAAGTTCTCATTGTGAGGATGGATGTGCGGTGGGAGCCTCAGTCACTAATTTCTTAGCTATGAGACTGTGGTTCGCGCTCTCTTTGTACATGCACTTTGTGTAGCTTCCTTTTCAGTCAGGTTTAGGCTCTAACAGCTGTTTGATAAGGGGCTAGAACAAGAGTTACAAATGAACCTTAATGCTGTACATTATTATTATTATTATTATTATTATTATTATTACTACACAATCACTGCGTTTAAATGTGACACAAAGGGCTCTTCAACACGTTTTTAAAAAGTATGTGATGGATTTGGGTGTGAGAGGTCCTGGTTTCAAGCGCCCAGATATGTTACAACCCACTTAAGTGTTATCTGGGATGGGGTGTAACAAAGTGGGAAAAAAATGTAATAGTTAACGTCAGTGGAACATCATTTAATTTACAATTAAGGCAAAATTAGAACAAAAATAAGACACGGGGAAACTCTGAGCGTCATTGTCTCAGTGGCCGAAATAACAAACAAAACACTCCTTTCTAGCTAAAAAAATCCTAAAACCACTCTAACTGTAAGAAAACAGAGTACAGAGGCGGAGCTCGCCGTCTAACCACAAAACAGGAGAAAAAGGCTGAAACAAAAAGAACCCTTCCTGCTTCCACTGTGGATCACTACAGTCCCATTGTAAAGATACACCTACAAACAAAACAAAGTCACACCAAGCTTCACTAGTTGTGCACAGCTACAGTCCACTACCCGAATCACTGCAGGTGAAAATGGGGAGAAGGGCGCGGCATTTGGACATGGCAGTCTTTATGCAGTGGCTGACGAGCTGCAACACATCTCATCTGTGGTTAGACCTGAAACACAGGAGGAGAAAGAGCCCTCTCACATGGGCAGAGCCCCTAGAGGTCAGCAACTGTAACAACAGCCACTGTATTTATAGTCTCACAGAGCTACTAGCATGGCTTTGTAAAAGCAACACACACCAGAGAACCATCTGTACTAGTTCGATGCACTCTGGTGTGTGTGCTGTTTGTCACGAGTACGTTTGTTTTGGTCATTTGATTGAATTTTTTAAGTCTGACTGATCATTCAGCATAGGGTCTATAATATAGCACACTCTCTATTATAGACAGACTCACGCAGCAGACGCTTGTGCAACTAGAGGCATCTGTGGCCATTTAGGGTTCAGTATCCTGCCAAGGACACATGACATTGTTGTGTTTACAAGGTTCTATAATAAAGGAAGCAAATTAGTACATGCTGTTACCCTGTCAGACCAGGGGCGCCGCTAATGAGGCTGGGTAAGAGAGAGGGGAGAAGAAGAAAGTAGAGAGAGGTAAAAGAGATGGAGCTCCGCTGTAAAGCCTGAAATAAAGTGTTGAACCCAGACGTCGCCTCCGCTGCCTGATTACAAACTCAACAGACATGTAGACCGAAGGAGCCAGGCATCAAACCACCAGCCTCTGCTGGACTTCCTGACACAGCCACCTCACTCTCAGCATCGTCTGTTTGTCTGATCTCTGTGCACCCATCAGTTATTGTCTAATTACTTTGCATTTCAGTGTTTTTGTTGCTTTCAGAATCACATTTTAAATCCTTCTCCACATGCAAGCTCGCGAATGAGTTATAACATAAAAGTCCAAATATTCTACCTCAGTAAGTGAATGATGAAGAAGATTGTAGCGTCTAAATGGGTCTTTGCAGTCTCTCAGGGCTTTCACTCTGTGCTTTTTGTTTATAAATGATGTGCATGGTCATGTTCAGGTACTTGGTCCTTTGAAGAGGAAGGCAAATTGCCTAAATAGCTGGATTTTTTTTCTTTTTCCCATCATTGTTCCACCTTGCTGCACAACGTGAGGCCAAGGTTTTTGTGAATCGCTCTGATGGAAGAGATGAGAAAAGTCAGAGGATGTTTGCATCGCTGCACCTTAAAGGATAGAAATGCATCGACTCACGACTGATGTGGGATCATGAAGCTGGCGTATTTTCACATTTAGTTTAATCAACGCTTGTCTTACAATGCACAAGAACTTCAATACATACAGTTTTTAATTAAACTCATTCTTCATGTTCACCGAACGTTCGTGAGATTGTTTGGTGAACTCAAGCTGCTCTGGCACATAGTCAAATCAAATCAAATTCAAATTTTATTTGTCACGTACACAGTCATACACAGTACGATATGCAGTGAAATGCTTGGACAACTGCTCGTGACCTAAAGAAAACAAAAAAGGAAAAGGCTATGAATAAGATAGGAAATAAAAAATTAAAAAGGGTAAATTTAACTAGGAAGGAATAAAATATAAATTAAGGTTAAAAATGAAATAACTGTACAACACAAATTAGAATGAAGGGTAAATTTAACTGGGAGAATAAGATAAAATATATAAATTAAAGTTGAAAATAAAATAACTGTACAACAAAATACACAATATAGAACTATATAAGAATGTATGAAGAAATATAAATATAAATAAAAGTCAGTGTGCAACCCTCGGTATATAAAAGGAGTTTGATTACTGTGTAATCCACTGAAATCTTGTCACAGTAACTTGCCATGTTTAGCCTACTGGGATAAACTCTGACATGATCCAGCCTAATTTGACCTTAGATGGACATAAATTATACTTTTACTACAAAATTATTGGAAAACCTGCCAAGAATCTCTTTAATGGCACCGGAGAAAAGATATGTGCACAGAGCGTTGACTTCTTTTCAGTTTGGTTTCTTTTAGAAAAGTTACAGCACTCAAAACAAAAAGTAAAAAATGTTACTGCCTATTTAAACATTATTATGCAGCCTTTTCGTCCTACGATGAACAATAATGTTTCTTGACGCATGCAAAAACAGAAAAACCTGCTCATACAGGGCCTTCATAGAGCTTGGGAAATCTTTGAGAAATGAAGTGCATTCAGAGACCTGCACGTGTATAGATCAGAGCTAATGGAAATCTAATGTAAGAGAATTCATGCTGAATTTTAAATGTCTTTATTGATTTATGTGGAGGCGTCAGCAGCTCTCTGTGCTGATGGCGTCTTTTGTCTGAGGTGTTTGTCTGCGCTCAGGCTTTCTGTTAACAAACATTTCACCTCTGCATACTAATTCTCGTCAGTGAACAGTGTATCCGAGCCTGCTCCTGGATTCCACACGTTATTTATTTATTTATTGCTTCCTTCCGTGAAAACTCGACATAAATCGTTTCCCATTTTTCCTGCCCCTTTTCCTCCGTTCAGAAATCCCTTCCTGTTGTGACAGGCCGCATCTAAAAGTATATTTTTACTCAATAATTTATTCACTGCCGATTGATGTATGTAGCAGATTTAACCATCAGTCTTTCTAATATCACTCAGGGGAATTTCCACCTTCCAAAAAGATGTGACGTTATTTTGGAAATCTGCAATAAATACTGCTCGCATGATTATGAAGCATGTTGGAAATTTTTAAAGTATGGTCACAGTTGAAGGTTTGATTTGATTGGATTTAAGGTAGAACAGCTGGACACTGGTGCTGGTCTGTTGTGGTGAGCATAAAGGCACAACTATTGGTTTAAATGGCTGACCTGCATTCATACTTTGACATATGACAAATAGCTTCTCCAGAAGTCTAGAGATGGCTCGAGGGAGCCGATATTCAGAGGAAATGGCTTAAGCAACCAGTAGGAGAGCCTGAAGCAGACGTAGCATACTCGGGAGAGTTTGTGTCCGCTGGCTGGTTTGGGAGCATCTCTCTATCTCAGTGAAGAGTAGATATCATGGGCATTGTTTATTTCATTTTTTATACAGCATATTATTGGAACTGGTCTCTTTTAAAATGTGTACCCCTTGTGTTTACGTCCTCAGTGGCAGTTACCAGGTGACGTCAGTGATCCTGTGTTGTTTTCCCTGCAGATGGATCTCAGAAGAATGGGAGCACTGTACCAAAACCTGCAGCAGCCTAGGCTTTCAGATCCGAACCGTTCACTGCGTACAGTTCCTGCATGATGGCACGAACCGCTCCATCCACAGCAAATACTGCAGCGGCGAGAAGCCCGAGAGCCGAAGGCCCTGTAACAGAGTGCCGTGTCCTGCCCAGTGGAGGACCGGAGCCTGGTCAGAGGTATCCACCGAATGTATTTGTTCTTCGGGGCGGGGGCCATATTTGTCATATTTTCATGTTTCAGATCTTTTAAAAATATATATTATTAAATAAAGGTAATGCAAAAACATACAATATGCAGTCTTTATGCAGAACTTGAAAGTGGAGTTCAAGTTCACTCCCCGCTCCCAGACCTGCAGTGTGACAAAGTGCAGCAAACTAAACAGCGCATCATTCCACGATATAAAGAAACAGCTGAGAAACCAACTCACTGACATCTGTCACTTTGGAAAAGGTTACAAAGACCACTGCTGACCAAAAAGAGTACAAAAGCTCGAATCACATCTGCCAAAAAACATCTGGATCCTCGC